GACCAGCCAGAAGGTTTTGAAGTTTCATGGAAAGAAAACTTCGTTTACAAGCTAAAGAAGAGCTTGTAAGGTCTTAAGCAAGCACCCAAGCTATGGTACAAAAAGTTTGACTCTTTCATGGTGAGTCAAGACTATAAAAGAATAGCTGCAAATCAGTGCGTTTATATTCAACACTTTTCGGATAGCAATTTCGTTGCTCTTCTATTGTATGTAGACGACATCCTGATCGTCGGACAAGATGCAACAAAAATCAGGCAGCTGAAGAAGGAACTCTCCAAGTCCTTCGACATGAAGGACTTAGGCCCAGCTCAACAGATGTTTTAAATGGACATAACTCGAGATAGGAAGAATAAAAGGTTGTGCCTATCTCAAGAGAAGTATGTTGAACGAGTGATCAAGAGATTCTACATGCATAATGCCAAACCTATTAGCATTCCACTGGCCAACCACTTCAAGTTGAGTAAGAATTCATGCCCCTCATCCAAGAAAGAGTTAGATGAGATGTCATCAGTACCTTCTTCTTTAGCAGTTGGAAGCCTGATATATGCCATGGTATGCACAAGACCAGTTATTGCTCATACAGTGGGCATGGTGAGTCGTTTACATCAAAGATATGTCTGTGCTACGGGGGAGCTAATCCAATCTTGGAGGTTATACAGATTCAGATATGGCGAGAGATCTTGACAGTAGATAATCTACTTTAGGATTTCTTTTGCAAGGGGAAGCTGTTTCATAGCAGTCAAGATTACAAAAGTGTGTTGCTTTATCTATAACAAAAGCAGAATATATTGCAGCAATAGAAGCTGGTAAAGAAATATTGTGGTTAAAGCGATTTCTCCAAGAACTAGGGATCAAGCAGAAAGATTATAAAGTACATTGTGACAACCAGAGTGCTCTTCACTTGAGTAAGAACTCAATGTATCACTCTCGAACAAAGCACGTTGACATTCGTAATTATTGGATAAGATAGGTGACATATCAACAGTTGTTGAGACTAGTAAAAATTCGCACCCATGAGAATCCAGCGGATATGTTAACAAAGGTGGTTCCAAAGGAGAAGCTAGAGCTATGCAAAGACATAGCTGGGCTGATTGAAAAACATCAATTGATTTGAATGCGACTGGAGGGGGAGAATTGATATGTATCCAGCCGCATTCCAGATTCATCTAGCCGCATTTTTGGAGTTTTCTTCCAGCTGAAGAAATTTAAAATCAACCACAAATTTCATTCCTTAATAATCAAGAAGTCTCCCACATGCTTGAAGCTTCTAAACCGCCCAAACAAGGAGGCAGCCGCCATTTTTGATTGGTCTATGAATTATTCTAGCGACAATTTGTCTCATTTGTTGATTAAAGAATTAGAAAACTGAGGTAAAGAATATTATGCATTAAATGCAGCTGAAATATGTATGAAACCAGCCTATTTTCTTGACTTTTCATGGCAGTTCTTGGACCAGATTTTTGACGTAGTTGGCTGGCATATTATTCTTCTTCAGACGACAGATTTTGGACCATAAAATGAAGCAGTTTTGCTACTTCATTTATCTATAAATAGAGGTTACATCTTCTATTAAAAGGATGCCCCAAGAGAGAGGGAAATATGTTTTGAGAGGAAGAAAATTAGAGTGTATAGAAGAGAGAAAAAAGAGAGATTAGAGAGTGATTTTGAGAGATTTTTTTTTTTTTAGAGAGTTTGTAATACTCTATCGTAAATTCTATTTAAGATTGAAATAGAATTGTTTTTCCTCTTTCATCTTCTCTTCTTCGTGATCGAAGAATCACAACAATACCATCAGTGACAATATAAAGTAAAAAATAAACTTAAATAACTGAACAAGCTAGATCCAAACCTCCAACATTTGTGTCGCCTGTTCCATCAACAGAGAGGGTGCTACCATATTGCTTTCCCCAAACACTAGCTTTTCTAAATTCCATCTTGTTTTCTGTTAGCGTGCCCGTCTTATCAGAAAATACATAGCGTATTTGTCCCAAATCCTCATTAATATTCAAGGATCTGCACTGAAACCTTGAATCAGAGCTACTATCATACATATGCCTGTCACCAATCATGAAATATGATTGTCCCAACCGAACCAGCTCCATAGTGATATAAAGAGAGATCGGAATCATTATCTGAAACACAATGATAGAACTCAAAAAAGAAAAAAATGTCTCCATTGGAATTCCATAATATTTGTACTTTTCCCCAAACTTCTTCTTGTCAAAATATATTTTCCGGTAATAAGGCAATGTGTCAAGCTGATTCTTGTGGGTATTTAACCATAAGCCCATCCCAATTGCTACAACAAGGCACATGATTAAAAGAAAAACTGACAACCAAAATGTTTCCCGGTTCATGTAGGTTTCCAATCTGCTTCGTTTAGCAGGTGACATTGCACTGTTCAGCATAGCTTTTGTATCCTTCCCAGCATAAACTACTACGCCAAGTGCCCATTCTGTGTTCTTAAGCTGACAACCTCGCAAAATAATGTTCGACTGGCTGAGAGGATACCTCTGCCCTTTTATCTCCAAGTTGGCTGTGAACTCGTAGATATTCCTGTTTGGCTGTTCACATGTGATAACCCCAGATATTATTGTCCCATCAAGTACTAATTTATTAGTTTCTTGCCTTGCATACCTTGTTTTCAAGTTTGACTCGCCATCCAAATTCATTGTCTGGATATAGGCAATTCCACTAGGATCACTTGTGGTCAGCAACACCATATCACAAGGAATTGTCTCATCAGAACAGATTTTCACTACCTCACCAGATTGTAACTTTTTCCATCTTTTTGGATGGAATTCTCCAGATTGAAGCACCAGAGCTTCCCGGTTATTCTCATTTCTGTCGGACCTGTGTCTTCGCCAGTCCTCATAACCATCTTTTACAGCTGTTACAGTAAGCACAAATAGAAGAGGGACAAGTGATACTGTTCTCCCAAAGACAGCAAGAGGTGGAAGCTGGTTCAGAGCAGCAATAGCCAAAAAATACAAATAAGCAACCCGGTGGAACTGAATGAAGAGATTCTTAGGCAAAAAATTAAGGAAGGTATATTTACTGGTCCGGATCTCATTTCCAGAATACTCAAAATTATCATTAGTCCTCTTAGGATCGTTAATATGGATCAACCTAGGGTTATCATGATGTGTTAAATTTTCTTTAAGCTGCATGCTTATCTGAAGGAACCTCTCAGACCTCTGGGACTTGTTCAAATAATCCTGAATCCCAGAAGAAACAGCTTGAGATGAAGCCCCAGAAACTTCACGCATAGACCAAACATGCTGTGGATCCGTCACACCACCCCATGACACAAGGAGTTTTCTCTCAGGCAGGGGAAGTTGCAACTGAAGGTCAACTGGCTTGAACTTCTTTCTGGTTCGAAGATAAGCAGGACATTCAACAGAATTCCTTAAAGCACCTCCTAATGGGGAAATGTCTTCATCAAATTCCTCCAACTCGTCCTCCAATTCATCATTATGATCGGACAAATTGCTATGTTGTGAACCGTCAGTAACAGATGAAGAGATCGATGTGTTGTGACACAGGCGTCCCAGTGAGCCGATTGTCAGTGATGAGTGACGGCGATGGTGAGGGCTTGTTGCAGACGACGGTTCAGAGGTAGACAACAATGGTTTGCCGGAAGACATAGAGGATCCACAGCCGCAGATAAAGCATTGGAGAATAGCATAACTAAGCCCTGTACAAAACAATTCCTCCCACCAGACCCACAAAAATTGACCGCCTAGGTGTATTTCCTCCCCTTTTCGCCCCAATTAAAAACCACTATAAAATTTCCCATGTCGTAAATCAACAATAAACACAATGAGGCGGCCAATAAAATTCATTCTCTATAATTTCTCCTTATTTGCAGTCGTTCATTTAAAGTACTAAGGAACAAATGTACCTAAAATATCCAATAAGATGCAGTAGAGCAATTTTCCTCCAAAAAAGAAAACCAAAATTCCTCTTAATTCTTGAAATCCTGAACCAGAACTGTGTTAAAATGAACTTTACCTTGCAGCGATCGAATTAGCATAAATAACGACAAATTAATCACTGCTCCACATAAAAGAAAAAAATAATAAGCGCCAGATTGTGACAGGATAGTAATAATAGGTCTGAAACCTGAACTGTGGTAATTGAAAGCGGAAACAGAAAGATAAGAGAGAGAAAAATACTAGTTTGTTTTTATTGTTATCGTCTAGGAAAAGGTGAGAGTGAATTGAATGGATTAGAAAGCAATCAAAGCACTGAATACGAAAATGACGACAGATCCAGATCTGGTTAAAACACCCGATCCCTTTCTTTCTTTCTTTCTTT